CCACAGGCGCCCGCCACAACGCCCGGCTATTTTTTTGGTTGCAGCGATCATTGTTGTTTGGCGGGTCCGGGCTGGGGAATCGAACCCACCACCTTAGGTGTACGTGGCTGGCGCCTTAGCCGGTTGAGCTATAGGCGCCGAGCCATCTTGCTTATTTTCTTTCCCAGAGACCAGTGAACTTGATCCTACTGTTAACCTGTTTTTATTGTTACTAGTTTTTATAACCTGTTGGGTTAGCTAGCTTCTTGGCATTGCAACATCTTGGTTGAGAAGAACTGTGTGGCCTACTTCTTGATTTTGGGTATCTAGTTGTGTCTTCTTTGTATCTTCCCTAGAAAGATGATTAAAGTAATGATAGGGGCTGGGCATGATGGCTCATGCCTGTAATCCCAGCACTTGGGAGGCCAAGGTGGGCGGATTGCCTGAACTCACAGGTTTGAGACCAACCTGAGCCAGAGCAAGACCCCTGTCTCTAAAAAATAGCCACGCATTGTGGTGGGCACCTGTAATCCCAGCTACCTACTTGGGAGGCTGAGGCAAGAGGATCACTTGAACCCAGGTGTTTGAGGTTGCTGTGAGCTAAGATGCCATGGCACTCTACTAAGGGTGACCAAGTGAGACTCTGTTTCAAAAAGAATAAACAAAGTAATGATAGGAGAACACATGGCATATACATGCGTGTACATGATATATTTTTATTAGACTTGTAGGAGTTTTTAAGAATTCTCATGCCATTCATATTTTCTACATTGAGACCAAAGTGTGCAAATGTCTCAAAATAGACAATATTGAAATATTTATAGAAAAACTCTGTAGTTTATGAGAGAGCAAAGATAAATGAACTCCAAGAACTTTGGTTCACAAGATGTGACCCATGAGTTGTATGATAGATAATAGCCCGGCTCTAAAGTCAAGCTGCCAGGTATTTGAATTTTAGCTTCTGTGACCTTGGAAAAGTTACTTCACCTTTCTGTGCTTGAGTATTCCCATCTGCAAGATGGTACAAGAGTACCTACCTCATGGATTCAAAGAATTAATTCAGATAATGTGTATAAGTTATGTAATAGCATGCGTACCACAGGGTACAACTAATGAATCTTAGCTGCTATATTTATTTAATAAGGGATTACTTTAAGGGTGAGGCCAGAGCTCTTGAACTATTGGTCAAGTTAAAAAAATTACTCTTAGCAAAGAAAATGTAATAATGAGATCAAAAAGGGTCTTCTAACTCAGTGCTGTTAGGAAATTCCCTTAGTTTATTGATAATTTTTTTTTATCTTTTTTTTTTTTTATACAGAGTCTCACTCTGTCACCCTGGGTAGAATACCATGGCATCATAGCTCACAGCAACCTCAAACTCCTAGGTTTGAGTGATCCTCTTGCCTCAGCCTCCCAAGTAGCTGGGACTACAGGCACCCACCACAACACCCTGGTAATTTTTTCTATTTTTAGTAGAGATGAAGTCTCACTCTTGCTCAGGCTGGTCTCAGACTTCCTAAGCTGAGGCAGTCCACCCTCCTCAGCTTCCCAGAGTGCTAGGATTACAGGCACGAGACACCATGCCCAGCCTATTGAGCATGTTTTTATTTTTTATTGTTTGTTTGTTTATTTATTTATTTATTTATTTTGCAATTTTTGGCTGGGGCTGGGTTTGAACCCGCCACCTCCAGCATATGGGGCCGGTGCCCTACCCTGTTGAGCTATAGGCTCTGGCCTTTGAGCATGTTTTTAAATAGGGATGTAAGTTCCATGAAGATAGGCGCTTGGTCTCTGTTTTATCCACTCATGTGTTCCCAGTATCTAGAATGGCACCTTAAAAGGCCCAGTGTTGCTTAGAACCTACAACTTCATCTTATAGATCCATGTATGTAAGTCATTCTAGTATGTGGTAATTTAAAATGACGTTTTAGGCTTGGCACCTATAGCTCAGCAGCTAGGGCGCCAGCCACATACACCAGAGCTGGCGAGTTTGAATCTAGCCTGGACCTGCCAAACAAAAATGACAACTCCAACCAAAAAATAGCCAGGCATTGTGGCAGGCGCCTATAGTCCCAGCTGCTTGGGAGGCTGAGGCAGAAGAATTGCTTAGGCCCAAGAGCTTGAGGTTGCTATGAGCTGTGGCACCACAGCACTCTACTCAGGGCAACATAGTGAAACTCTGTCTCAAAAAAAAAAAAAAATTTTAATGATGGTATGGAAAGATGTTTTATGTAAAGTACTAGAAACTCTGAAACCTAATATGCATTTAAACAAATTGCCTTTCATTGCTTTGTATGTAAACAAAAGTACGTGTAATATGTAAACAAATTGAAATATTACTGTTGACAGTTTGGCAACATGTAATTACTAATATTCTATTAAAGAGTTTTGAGGTACTTCATATAAGAAACATAAAATAGGATCGGGCACAGTGGTGGCTCATGCCTGTAATCTAAGGTGACCAGATTTTAACATTGGTAAAGCAGGACACCATTGACTGGGGGGTAGGGGGGTTCTTAATTAAAAATTTGGTCTATATGGAGCAACAAAAATTTTCATAGAACACAAAAATGGTATTGTAATATATTTTTTAAAATTTCAACATAAGTACAATTTACAAATATAATGAAAAAAATTATGTATAGTATTATTTTATTCTTTGGCATATTTCTCGTCGAATTCTAACAACTGATCAACAATACGAACTTTGATAAGCAGTTCTCGATAATCAGTTCTCAACAATTATTTGTTATTATTAAAGTTTAACATTATAAAATTAACAAAAATATAAAACTCATATCCTGGTGAAATAGCCACATGGCAGCTGAAAACTGTATATTCCCTTCCCATTCTCCCGCAGTTCCCTAGGTTGTCGTGCATTCTTTCCAAAAATCAGGACTGTCCCACCAAACCAGGATGTCTGGTCACCTTACTATAATCCCATTACTTTAGGAGCCCAGGGCAGGAGGATTGTTTGAGGCCGGGAGTTGCAGCCCAGTCTGGGTAAGATAGCAAGACCCCATCTCTAGAAAAGAAATTTTTGAAACAAACTGGGTGTGGTGGCACATGCCTGTAATCCTAGTTACTTGGGAGGCTGAAGCAGGATAATTGTTTTGTTTGAGCCCAGGAGTTTGAGGCGGCAGTGAACTATGATTGTGCTACTGTACTCTGCCTGTGTGACAGAGTGAGACCTTATCTGAGAAAAAAAAAAAAAGCCAATGAGCCAGGAACATTGGCTCATGCCTATAATCCTAGCACTTTGGGAGGTTGAGACGGGAGGATTACTTGAGGTCAGCAGTTCTAGACTAGCCTGGGCAACATAGCAAGACCCTGTCTCTACCAAGGAGAAAAAAGTAGAAAAATTAGCCAGCCATGGTGGCAAGCACCTATAGTCCCAGGTACTCAGGAGGCTGAGGCAGGAAGAGTTTGAGATACGGCGAGCTATGATAACACCACTGCATCTTAGCCTGGGCAATAGATCACAACCCTGTCTCCAAAATAATAAAAAGTTATCTATACCTAAAACTGACAGTTATATGCATATATTAACAGTAATTATCCCTGGGTATAGAAATATACTTAATTTAAAAACTCTTACCTTTTTTCCTCTTTATTTTCTAATACTGTCTTCAGTATAATATTGTCTGAATTTTAAAAGAACCCCTCAAAACCCAACCAGGTCTATTGAATACTTATAGTACCTTTGTCCTTTTGGGCACTAGGGGTACAGTGATAAAGAAGAAAAACAAAGTCTCTTTTTTCTAGTTCCATGGGAAGAGAGACAATGAACTTAGGAAAGCAAGCTCCATGTTTTAGAGCAGGCATCCTCAACTACAGCCTGCGGGCCACATGCAGTCCGTCTAGGACATTTATCCAGCCCGCTGGGTGTTTTTGCCACCGCTGCCTGTCCTGCTTAGCAGCCGACTTGTCCCAGGGCCCACAGTCCAGCCCTCCAATGGTCTGAGGGACAGTGAACTGGCGCCCTGTTTAAAAAGTTTGAGAACCCCTGTTTTAGAGAGAAGAAACTGAAGCCCAAAGAGGTTAAAGGGGCTTTCTACATGTCATGGCACGATTGGCCTAAAAATCCCACTCACCTGACATGGAGCACAGTGCACTTTCTGTTACACCTTGCTGGCTTTTTTGACTCTTAAACAAATGGCATGCAAATTCTCGAACTTTCTAAATGAGAAGTCTCATTGAATTTTGCTTTGAGTCTCGTGAAGGAGTTCTTTGCTATAGGGCAGTGTCGTGTGAGACACAAGTGTTTTCTACCCAGTTCTGTGGGATACTTGACAAATCCTTTAAGCCCTCTGGACCTTGTTTTTCTCATCTGAGAAATAAAGAGATTGACCTTGATAACTGTGAAGAGTCATGCTTGCTTGTTACTTCCGTAGTTTCATTGTTGGATTTGGAATTGTGTGTGTTTTCTCTGCAGCCATCCACACTGCTGCCATGGATATGCTGGGTGGATCTGGTATTGAAAGCCAGTGTAGAAAAGTTGATATCATCGCAGACGCTGCATATTCCATTTTCAAAAAGCCAAAAAGTTTTACTGGCAACTTTATTATTGATGAAAATATCTTAAAAGAAGAAGGAATAAAAAATTTTGACATCTATGCAGTTAAACCAGGTAATGTGACATGTTGTTCCATATTTTGTGCAATGACTACATTTGTTTTGTGTGTATGTTTATGTGATAATAAAATGACTGTGTTCTTTTAAAAGGTGGCTTCCCAAGGAAGGGAAAATTCCATATCAATGTGCCCAAAAAAGAGAGAGAAATGAAAAATAGAAGTGAATTTGGGGCTTTTGGAGTGATAATACATATAATAAAGACAGAAGATCATATCAGCTACTTTTAAATCTTGAAATAAGGAATGAAAATTAGTTTTTAAAGTTGGCCCAAAAATCACAGAGTAAAAATTGTATTCAAGGATGTGGTAACAGATTATACAATTAGTAGGGTTTTCATAATTTTTTTTTAACATTGTGAACTCTTTTCAAAAGTTTATCTCAAATGATGAAGAGGAATGAACAGGTTCTGTTTTATGTACAGTGGGGTTATTTGAGAAGTTTCCAGAAGGCAAATTCTTCCTTTCTGAAATTAGGGATGATGATGGAATTTTTCTTAATATATAAAATAGTATATGTCCTAAATAATAGAGGATATTATAGCCATAATGGGAGTTGTATTTACTTATTCATTAAACTGAGCTTTTTTTTTTTTTTTTTTGGCCAGGGCTAGGTTTGAACCCACCACCTCTGATATATGGGGCTGGTGCCTACTCCTATGAGCCACAGGTGCCACCCCAGAAATCATGTTTATATTTGTAGCATTCCTGCCTTTGCGTTCAGTTCAAACCGAATTAAATAGCTGATTATACTTTTACAAAGCACTTTCTGTTTAACTTTCATAGCAGTCCTGTGAGGGAAGTAATATTCTTTCAGAGTTAAGAACATGGAATTTTGGCATGGTGGTTACGGCTCCAGCCACATACACCAAGGCTGGTGGGTTCAAACCTGGCCCAGGCCTGCTACACAGCAATGACAACTGCAGCAAAAAAATAGCCAGTCATTGTGGTGGATAAGTAGTCCCAGCTACTTGTAAGGCTAAGGCAAGAGAATCACTTAAGCCAAAGAGTTTGAAGTTGCTGTGAGCTGTGACACCACAGCAGTCTACTGAGGGCAACATAGTAAAACTCTGTCTCAAAAAAAAAAAGGACATGGAATTTGGGAGAAGACAACCCAAGTTCAGATTTTAACTCCAATGCTCACTTAGCCCTATAACCTTGAACATGTCGCCTACCCTGAGCCTAAATGTCCTTATTGGTAAAATTAAGAGAATGATACCTCTAACATAGGATTTCAGTATGAACTAAGGCAATAATGTGTATGATGTGTTTGGCACAGTGCCTGCCATATAGAACACTGACAGCATAGAGTAGTTAATGTTTATAAGTGGAAAAACAGGCTTAAAGAGATTAAGTCCTTGCCTAAGAGCTGCTGGCTAATAGTGACAGAACCTGAACCAGATTCAGGTTTTCTGGGAGCTGCTGCAGTGTAATTATGACTTTAGGTTTTTTGTTTTTGTTTTGCTTTTAGAAATGGAGTCTCATTCTATTGCCCAGGCAAAAGTGCAGTAGCATGATCATAGCTCACTGTAACCTCGAATTCCTAGGTTCAAGTGATCCTCCTGCCTCAGCCTCCAGAGGAGCTGGGACTATAGATGTGCCCAACCACGCCCCACCAGCTCATTTCTTTTTAGAAACAGAGTCTTACTATGTTACCCAGGCTGGTCTCAAACTCCTGGCCTCAAGCAACCCTCTAACCTCAACCTCCCAAAGTACTAGGATTATAAGCATGAGCTACCATGCTTAGCCTACTTTAGATTTTAAAGACAGTGTCATTGTGTCATTTAAGCACAAAAGCTTAAAGTTGATTTAAATTTAAAATCCTAAAAGGACTGAGAGCTTAATATGATCAAGTACTATGATATTAGGATATAACAAAGATCAAATCATCTCTACACTCCAGAAGTTAAGAGAAAAAGAAAGCTGAAGGCTCTAGAGCAGCAGTTCTCTACCTGTGGGTCGCAACCCACAGGAACTACATTAAAGGGCCGCAGCATTAGGAAGGTTGAGAACCACTGCTCCAGAGACAGAAACCCTTAAGCCTTTAAGGACCTAGAAATCAGCTTGGGCAAAATAGTGACCCCATCTCAAAAAGAAAGAAAAGAAAAAAAGGAAAAGAAAAGGACAGAAATTAAATAGAGATTGAGATTGTTAACATTTAACTTTATTGGCTCGGCGCCTGTGGCTCAAGTGGCTAAGGTGCCAGCCATATACACCTAAGGTGGTGGGTTCGAATCCAGCCTGGGCCCGCCAAACAACCATGATGGCTGCAACCAAAAAATAACTGGGCATTGCGGCGGGTGCCTGTGGTCCCAGCTACTTGGGAGGCTGAGGCAGGAGACCTGCTTGAGCCCAGGAGTTGGAGGTTGCTGTGAGCTGTGATGTCACAGCACTCTACCCAGGGGGACAGCTTGAGGCTCTGTCTAAAAAAAAAAAAAAACATTTAACTTTAGTTTTGAGAGCTTTGTGGCCTTCAGATTTCCTAGCATGAACATGTTTTGGAAGTATCAGTGTTATGTTAAAACAGCTAACTTCAGGTGGCGCCTGTGGCTCAGTGGGTAGGGCAACAGCCCCATATATAAGGTGACCAGATTTTAACATTGGTAAAGCGAGACACCATTAGGGGGTGTTGTTCTTAATTAAAAATTTGGTCTATGTGGAGCAACAAAATTTTCATAGAACACAAAAATAGTATTTTAATATATGTATTTTTAATTTCAACATAAGTACAATTTACAAATATAGTACATTAAAAAAAATTATGTATAGGGCAGCTCCTGTGGCTCAAAGGAGTAGGGCGCTGGTCCACCTGGGCGACCTTGCCCAGGAGGGGAGTAGGGAGTTTACATTAGCCTTTTCATTTCCAAATGAAGTTACGTTAACCTCTTCATTCCCAAATGGAGTTACATTAACCTTTTCAGCAGCCAAAAACGTATATTCCCTTCCCGTTACCCTGCCGTTCCCTAGCTTGCCGTACATTCTTTCCAAAAATCGGGACTTTTTAAAAATGCCACAGGACAAATTGTTAAAAATCAGGACTGTCTGGCCAAAAGTGCGACACCTTACCTATATACCAAGGGTGGTGGGTTCAAACCCAGCCCCAGCCAAACTGCAACAAAAAATAGCTGGGCATTGTAGTGGGTGCCTGTAGTTCCAACTACTCAGGAGGCTGAGACAAGAGAATCCCCTAAGCCCAAGAGCTGGAAGTTGCTGTGAGCTGTGACGCTACAGTACTCTACCAAGGGCAATAAAGTGAGACTCTGTCTCTTTAAAAAAAAAACCTAACTTCTTTTCTTATCACAACTGTTAGTTGGAAATAAGTAGAATGGATAGCTTAGTTTTCGTGATGATAAAGTGAGAGAAAGAAGAAGAGATAAAAGAACTCACATGCATTAGTATGGGAAAACAAGCCTTTCTTAAGCCAGGGACCCCTGGCTTTGGGGGCCAGGTAAGAAAATGAGTTTTGAGTACTTCAGAGGGATATAGAAAGGCTTGTAAGGGTTGTAAGGATGAGGAAGGCAAAGCCTCCTGGGGAAGTAGGTACAGGCTTTACAGAACAGGTGATTTTTTGATTCAATCTTAAAGATGAGATTTGTCATAGAAGGGGAAGATAACTTGAGTTATAGGAAAATTAATTTAATGAAGATCAAGTATTTTGACAGTTCTCATGAGGGCCTTTCCCATTGCATCAGAATTATCTTCAAATAAAAAGAGATAAATGTTTATTCAACAGCTATTAAAATCTTAATATTTTATAGTTATTACATTAACCTGATTATTTTGGGGTCAATTTTTCAGGCCATCCTTTGATACCAGATTTCTTCTTAGATGAACAGCCGGAAACAGTTACCAAGAAAATGGAATCACAGGGTAAGATCTTAAGATCTAGATCATATATATTTATTTTTTAAATCTTGGAAAATGTAAGTACTGACTTGGTATTTCTTTCTTTCTTTTTTTCTTTGAGACAGCGTCTCACTATGTCACCCTCAGTAGAGTACGTAGAGTGTTGTGGCATCAGCGTCACAGCTCACAGCAACCTCAAACTCTTGGGCTTACAGGATTCTCTTGCCTCAGCCTCCCAAGTAGCTGGGACTACAGGCACCCGCCACAATGCCCAGCTATTTTTGTTGTTGTTGCAGTTGTTGTCGTTGTTAAGCTGGCCCAGGCCGGGTTCGAACCCCCCAGCCTTCGTGCATGTAGCCAGCGCCATAACCACTGTGTTACGGGCGCCAAGCCAGACTCGTTATTTCTTGTAAAATGTAGAATGGATCCTAGAACAGTGACACTTCTGTCTTCTGCTTTTGAATCTTTTATTTAAACTAAGCGAGTAGTGTAAGTTTTCAGTTAATTCTAGTAAAGAACATTGTTTTTTTTCATCTGCTAGTAAATTAACATATTCTTTGCATTTGGTTAAAAAAGTCATCTGAAGAAAATAACTTTTTCAGATATTTCATGTTGATATTTTACTTTAAGGAAAAATGTGTCATTATCAATTACCTCTAATACCATTTTCACAGTGTGTGCTGTGTGACTACTTTACAGAAGAAATTAACTTTAAAGGTTTTGTTTTGTTTTGTTTTGTTTCTGTAATTCAAAAAGAGTAGCCTTGCTGAATTGGTCCAGCATTTACATTTCAGTGTTTGTGTTCTGGCAGTATGCCAATGGCTTATTAAAAGAAAAAACATTCTTTAACAAATACCTGTGGGAAGAATTTCTCTGATGGTTTACTAATAAGAATTCTTCTTCTGGGCCCTTAAGTTATTTTTATCTCAGCGATGCTGTTGATCTCCTAAGTGATCATAGATTTTTTTAGAAGGCTGATACAAAATGTAGGAACAAATTTCCTTGATAGTTTTAGCAAATCTATAGAGCCTTACTGAAATACATTTTAGTGCCAAACATTATTCCCAGCTTAATCTTGTCTTTTCCATCTCTGTCTCTTTTTTCTCTAAATTTTACAAAATGACTTAAGTAATAAAAAGGACATTTGGGGGAGAGGGTGGGTGGAGGAAGGGTGATTGGTGGGGCCATGCCCATGGTTCATCCTATAAGGGTACATGTGAATCTCTCTAATTATAGATTATAAATGTCTTAACACAATAACTGAGAAAAAGACATGAAGGCTATGTTAACCAGTTGGATGAAAGTATTTCAAATTGTATACAAAAACAGTACACTGTACCCCATGATAGTATTAATGTACACTGCTATGATTTAATTTAAAAAATAATAAAAAAATAAAAATAGACAATGTTAAGGAAGATTAGAATAACTTGACCTTTGTTTAATTATAACGAATAATAAAAAATAAAGTTTAAAAGTTACAAGTTTAAAAAATAAATAAAAATAAATAAAAACCACTGACTATCAAAAAAAAGGGACATTTTTCTATATTGTAGAAAATTTGAGAAATATAGAAAGGAAAATAATTGCTCATAATCCTACTACCCAGAGATAGCTCTTTTTAAAAATTAAATCTTTGGGCTTGGTGCAGTGGCTCACTCCTATGATCCTAGCACTCTGGGGGCTGAGGACGGGGGATTGCCTGAGCTCAACAGTTCAAGACCAGCCCAATCAAGAGCAAGACCCCATTTCTACTAAAAATAGAAAAAGTGAGGCCAGAGGACCCCTTGACCCCAAGAGTTGGAGGTTGCTGTGAGTTTTGATGCCATGGTACTCTACTGAGAGCAACAAAGTGAGACTCTGTCTCAAAAAAAAAAAAAAAAATTAAACCTTTGATTTAGTTGGCCATATGGATGTATCAGAGTATTTATTAAAGCCAGAAAAAATAAAACAAGGCCATCTGTATTTTTCTCAAAAGTCCTTTTACTAAATGACTGAGAGGACCTATCAAAGTCTAGAAGAATCTAGTCTTTAAGTTAGGTGAATAGAAAATCCTGATGTTTGCCCAACATCGTAAAATTGGATCTGTCTTCTGAAGGAAGACAGCTATGAACTGAGCTTATTTAAATTCCAAAATTTTAAAAACTTAAGTGGGCTCGGCGCCTGTGGCTCAAGTGGCTAAGGCGCCAGCCACATACACCTAAGGTGGTG